AAAAAAAAACACCAAAAAACAGAAAATAAGAAACTTTGAATTCTCAATTAGGCCAAAGTAAGCATAGCAAACAAAAAGACTAGAAAGAATGATGCTGAAATGTTAATAGTTGTTGTCTGTAGAGACATTTTCTTAGCATTTCCCATCTTTTGCAAGTTTTCCGTAGTGAGCACCTGCTAACTTTATAATGAGGGAAAACGGAGATTTCAAATAATAGCCTATGGTAGTACACCAACATTTTAATCTCCACATCATTCTACTCCTTCCTTTTCCACATCATCTGCTCTTAAACACTCACAAATCTAGTTTTTTTTTTAAAAAATCACTTTTTTCAATTATTTTACTTCCCAGAAACTGCCAAAATTTCTAATGGTTTATATACGTCCTACCTTCACTTAATAAAAAAGGTAAAGGGAGGAGGGGGTAAGGGGAGCTGATAGCATGGCTGCTTATATAACCCCACCTGATGGGATTGAACAACAAACCTGTCTATGAATGGACAAACTGGAATGTTCGATGCAGCTCAAAGTGGTATAAAGAATACAATTAAAAAGGTAAAAAAAGAGGAAGCTCCTTGACAAGATCGATGGACACAGTAGCTGCAACACGAGGCTCAAATATAACAATTGTGAGTTCAGCACAGGCCTGGGCAGTGCTTCCTTTTTTGTACACAGGGTCACTGTGAATAGGAACCAACTCGAGGGAGGCCACCACCACCATCACCATCTGCTGTGACACTCAGATCAAAGACCACCTGCCTCAATTCAATGAACTTTTTCTTAAGAGAACCATCTCTTGAAAACCGATTACATTCCTTTCTGCTCATGACTGTAGACTTCCCAGTTGCCCCCACCCCACCCCATGTTCCTTTCAGCTTTGGATCCTATTTTAAATTTATTTCTTCAGTGTTCTCACAAATGCTTGATATGTACATTATTTCTTCCTCCTCCACCTTCAACTTCAGCCACATGTGTCCACGTGACTTTTCCACTCTGTTGTGAATCAGCACGTCCTGCACAAAATTCATCATTATCATCTAAAACAATACTCTCAGCACACTCTCGTCTGCTTTCCATCTTCTTAGAAACAGTCACACCAAATGCAAATGTGTTTGTCTCTAACTGACTTGACCATCTGCTGTTTCCAGCTAAACTGGCCTCTCAGGACCCCAGCACGCCAACTTTCCTATCCCAAATGGTAGCAAACGTATCTTTCCAAATGTTCTAGACCGGTCCCACCATACTGTTTTAGAAGCCTGGAATATCTTCCCTTCACCTACCCAAATCTAACATCTCCAAAATCTAGTTGCTGACCTTTCTCAAACTCACTACCATCGAGTCAGTCCCAACACATAGCAACCCTTGGTAGGATTTCCCTAAATGTTGCCATCTCCTGTTTATCATCTGAGGGGCAGAGCATGGGAAAGGGTTAAAGTACATCAACTCTTTGAAGCCAAGTACCATATTTATTTTATAGCACTTGGGACCTATAGAAAAGCCTTAAATGAAATGTTTTCATGCATTTTATTACATTAAGTTCCATGAAAATATTAAAAACAAACAATCATCCCAAAGTAATTTTAGACAGATAAACAATTCCTTCATGCCCATGCCCAGATTCCCCCCACCCCCAAACACTTAACTCTTTCTTCAGGCCTGAGATGTGTATTTTATATTAAAATTCCAAATAAAAAAAATAAGATAGGAATAACCAGAATTATCTCTAAGATCCGTAAAAGAAAAAAGGTTTGAAATCAAGACCATGAAATCCACACTTTTTATCTGGTTAAGGAAGAGACAGAATTTCATTCTGAAGTTTCCATTTAAATGCAAAACTTCAAAAATCCATAAACCTCTAAAATTGTGTTTGTTAATGTCATTAACTGGCCTATACCAGTATTTTAAAAATTTGCTCTATGAAAGGATATTTTTCCTAAAATAACCGGGCCAAGTAAATAGCATGACCACACATATAATGTGTAGAAAGAAATGATGAAATTAAGCAAAATACTTCTGGTATAAGGTATGCATTATTGGCACAAAAATAATGTCGTCCCTGAAATGTTCTCATATTCACTGCAGGGCAGTGAATTACTTAGCGTGGCTCTTCTAGCCACTGTCTCCGAAACTTTCACCAAACAGCTTTTTCCTATGGGTTAGGGTAAGAGAAGGTTGGGGAAAACATGGTAAGATTCAGTTGTGAGTGACGGTGAACAGGATGAATTGTGACTGCCATCCTGCTGGGCATAAAATGAATCATCTTGGAAGAAGGTCTCACTACCAGGAAAAGAGAACAGCCAGGGGTGGAGCATGTCCTTTGGGCCCGGAGATCCCTCTGCACTAAAAACCTCCCTGATGCAGACGAGTTGTGACACAGGACGAGCAGCAACAAGAGAACCAGGGGCTAAAGCATGAACCAGGCAGTGGACTTCCCAGACCACACAGCAAGTAAAGTCCAGTGCTTTGGGAGCAGGAGGTTGTCTTGTGAAGTGAAATCCTCTAGGCTCTTAATTGAGGGAGGAGGGTTTACTGACCCATGGACTGGAGCTGAGTGCCTTCAGTTTGAGGGCAATAGCAGAATGGTATGTTCTTTGGGCATTCATTGACAGCCCCAAAGGACTTTTGAGCAGGACAAAGAGCAGGACAAAGACCAGGCCTAGAGGCCCAGGACTAGAGACAGGCCTGCCTGTGAGCACCAGAGAAGAAGCTGTCCTAACTAAACAACTGTATCTTGAGCATTTCTTACCTGAATGGTAAGCTATCAACTTCCCTCCTAAACTCCACAACTGTGAGCACTGTCTTCGAGTTCTGTATGGCCATTGCAACGAATTACTGAACCCAGCTGAAAAGCAGAGTGCACTATGGGAGGGCATATTGGTATCAGTTGGTATCAGAATAAAGCTAAGAAAGGTGGAGGGTGAAGGCACGTCTGACCCCTGTCCACCTTGGGAGCTGGAGGAGGTCAGATTGGCCCCCACATAGTAGTGTTCAAACTGTAGTTTTCTCTTCCTAAAAAAGTAACCATATAGAGGTTATTATTATTATTATTAAATAGTACTAAATGTACATATAATTTTAGTGTTAAAAAGTGTTAAGCGCTCTTACTTTAATCAGTTCCAAGGCCTTCCGATAAGCAATTTACTCAACAACAAAAAAATACCAGTAGTTAGATATAAAGCCAGATTTTATAAATTATATTCAATTCCACAAACAATGGAATTGCATTATTCTGTTCATTTTTCTGCTTTAACACTGCTTTATCACAGATTAGAGGTTTACTAAAATGTTCCAAACTTATTTATAAAAGTATTTATAAATTGTTACTCGTACATAAGATACCTACTTCAGCCATCTCTTCTTCTTCCTCCTCATCTGAGGTAACTTCTTCTGTTGTCCCATTCTGAAATGGAGAAAGAATTTGCTAGGGCTATACAGAACAAATAAGCATACACGTTAGTTCGCCAGAGGCCTGGGGCCACAGTTAGAGTTGTGAAATCTTAAGATAAAGGTCCACTAACAGAGCTTCCACATTCATTGTGATGTCCAGCTCTGCTCTAACAAATAGAAACTTAACTTTGGACAACCCAACTTAATGTCTTGGAAAGAAACAAAAGCAACCACTCAAATATAAAGCAGAACTGAAATGTGTAAAACAAACTAATTTAAAGTAGGAAAATTGTTTTATATATATATATAGTTATATGCGTAAGCTGTGACTCCTTCAGTTTAAAATAAATACCAAGCCCACTGGTTCCTTAAAATATCTCCCCTTTGAAACTCAGAAGAACTCGAATCCTTTTATAAATTTAACTCTCTAGTAGTATTTTCAGAAGTCAAAAGGGCTATAGAGGGATAGACATTTGTAAAACACTACACAATAATATAAAATGATCACCACTTCACTAAAATGCTTTTATAAACATGTATTTACCACAGAACACTTCTTGGTAAGACACAATTTGCCAACCATTCATAAATGAATCTGATGAGATTCAAGAGGCTCCACATCTGCTTATGGAAGAGTTCAGAAAGACAGGTCTCTTGGGCCAGAGTGCCGTTTTCCAGAAGGCCTTAGTGAGGACTGAGATTACCATAGAGGTCAAGAAACTAAGCGGCAGAGATCAAGTCAGCAGTATCTACCCAGTGTCTGGGGATCTGCTCTCGGCTCCTATAATTCGTACGGAAACCTTTATACCAGAGGATGTACCTGTTCTGAATTAGTGAGCTGGAGAAGTCTGCAAGATGTGGAAGATATACATAACAATGCAAAGGGTTAGTTTTGTTTTAAATCTGCATCTCTTCACAACTTGCTATTTATCTCCTAGAACTGAATGAGAAAAGTAAGCAAGTTCCCAAAATGTAATGGCTCATCCCTTCTTCATTTCTTTAAACTGTACATTCCACAAACAGACTCTTTCTTAATGAACAGACTAAGGCCCCCACACTAGTTTGGATTTATTCATGGTGGAGACAACCCACCCCAGAGTATATGCTTTCAAAAAGCTGTTCTGGGTGATTCTAACTTGCTGGAGGGTCGGTCTGTGACCAGCAATCCAGTCCAAGTCTTTCATTTTAAAAATTTGAAAATTGAGGTCCCAAAGCCAGTAAGGGTTGTGAAATCCTGAAATTAAGTTCAGTTAAAGACATAGCCTTGACTTGAAAACACCATAAAACTAACCAAAGACTTGTAAGAATAGTGACCCTATAGGACAAAATAGAACTGGCCCCTGTGGGTTTCTGGGGCTTTAAAATTTCACAGCGGAGAGCCTCATCTTTCTGCTGCAGAGTGGCTGGTGGAATCAGACTGCTGACCAACAGGTAAACCATTACACCACCTGGGCTCCTTAAGGCCATCACAGCACTGGAAAAACAAGCATATCATCAGTTTTAGAAAGCATGAAAGCATGAAGTAGATGGAATCAGTCTGCTAATTAAAAACCCCACCCCAATCCGTTAATGCAGGGGACTACAGAGCAGGATGTTGTTGGAAAGAATGGTGGAACAACGCCTGCCCCGCCATCTGTTGTAGTTGTCCCAACTACATTTGGTAAGGATCACTCTCATGTCAAAGGTCTGCTTTAATGAGCTCTTACTGTGGGGGTCAGAACCAGACTAAAGAAATGACATGATTTTTAAAAGGTACTTCAGTGCAACAGCAAAATCTCCTAACACTTTCTCTTCTGCTTACTCAGAAGTTAGAAGGGTAGCTGGAGCTATCAGGTAGCCTGCCAACATATGCCCATCCACATACCACAGACAGAGCAGAGGGCTACCAACCAGGCCAGAGGAGGCAACAACAGGAAAGAATGGCTTTCACAATTGCTGGGGACACCCCAGTCAACCAATACTGGTCAATAGTATCCCCATCTATAAGCAAGCAGATAATCAAGGACTGCCAAAATCCCTGAAGACAATCAGTCACAGAAAACAAAGAAACCAACATGAAGCAGCAGCACCGGGACCCTAAAGCAACACTGTCTAAAGAAACAAAACAAAACATCTCATTGGAAACTCCAAAGAGTGGCATATATTAAGATATATTAAGTGGCATAGAGGACAGGAATATAGAGATACAATATTTGTCTAATATTTACCCAAAGGATGGAGAATAAGAAATGTAAAAAGAAATTGTTGCCGATAAAGATTTCAGAATATTAAGTAGCTCTGAATAATACAAATGAACATGGGGGAAAAACCATATACATCACAAAGAAAAAAACATAAAAACTTACAAAAAGAAAAAGTTACTGACAAGCATCCTACTTTTCACCTCTAAGAATACATTATATCAGAATGAAAACAGTAAAAAACCAGGGAGAGACAATTATTATCTCAGAATAATTCTGTCTCCAGGGCCACAGGGCCAGGTGTTCCATCTGTGTTCACTACTAGCTTCTCAGCACTTGAGTGTTGGACACAGAACAGACTCTGGAACTTGAGGAATGAAGGATACAGCTAACAGTGAATGTTCAAGGAACAGTCCCTCTCTATGCACCCACACACCCAATCTGGGAAAAAGAAGATTACTCAGGGGTGCACTTCACAGAGCAGGAAAAAAGAGCCTGTAGGGAGGGAACGCATATCGACCTACCACCAAGAGCAATGTGCAAAGACAGCAGCTGCACCAATGATTATGTTTAAGCTATTGCTGATAACGCAGCAACGAGGGTACAAGCCACAATCTCAGACGATAGGTTTTTAAAAATAAAACAAGTCAGGTGTCACCTGAAAAATGCTATTTTTGGCCTCCTAAATAGTTCATGGGTCAAAAAGGAAATTGACCCTCACGCTCTACTAATCTAATTCCTAAGTATGTGCCTGAGGTGTAAAATGTGCTTCTACAGCATGCCATGAAATATGGGTAAGAATGGTTATGGTAGTACTGCCTTTAATAGCAACAACAAAATTGGAAACAACCTAAGTGTTCACAAAGTCACATGGATAAATGTGCTAAGGCACATTCAAACAATGGAATAAATACAGCAGCAACAACAAAAGACATACCCCGTTTCCTCGAAAGTAAGACATCCCCCGAAAATAAGACCTACTTAGTTTTGCCTCTCGCTGAAATATAAGGCATTCCCCCCAAAAATAAGGCCCCCAAAGCTACCATAACTCTTGACTCTGGACCGTAGCGGCAGGCGCCGCTGCTCAGCTCACCGGTGGCCCCAGCACAGGCGGAAGAGACAGGAGGTGCGAGGTCTCTTTTAATAAAACAATAATGTGTACCATATTCTTCTTCAGTGGAAAAATAAGACATGCCCTGACAATAAAACCTAGCGCATCTTTGGGAGCAAAAATTCCTAAGACACTGTCTTATTTTCGGGGAAACAGGGTAGCTACAATGAACTTCACACATAACACGGATCCAAAGAAAGAAATCCAGAAGCAGCACTACCCTACGTGTATTGTTTGTCCATGAAATGCCATACACAGCAAAGTACATACACATCTATGATAAAATACACTGCTAAGTTTGAAAAGGTGCAGATATTCTAGAGAATGAGGGGAAATTACATGTAAAATAACTCCCATTCTTCGCTTTCCGAAGGCTCTATTATAATTTCGGTGAATACTGAACACTGTATAAACACACGATGACCAAAAAGAAAGAAGGCAACAGGGGCAAAGAGAATTCTGTCTTCATTAGAAGACAGAAGATGGAGAAATGGTAATCAATGGAGGGGGACAGTTAACACCCTAGGTTAGAGGGAGGGAAATAATTATGCTAATTTACCCCACAGCAGCCTGGAGAGACTATGGATTTCAATCCACTAAGCACAGAAGGAAAGACTGGCTACCAAAAGCCTTGATTTACACACACTGACCTGCCCCCCAAACATACTGCTAACTCCAGCTTCTTGAGCAGGACCCAGGCAGACAAATATCTACCCTCAGGCAAGAAATTACAAGGTTTCATCTCCTAAAATATTTTACATAGCCATCATGTATTGTTTTTATTTTTTGTGAATTAAATGAGGGTTTATATTTCAGATCATTTTTGTATTGAACACATCAAACAGCCAGTCTCCCAATAACTTGCCCCGCCCAGTTTCCCTCTCCTTCCTCTTATGGAATACTAGCTTCCCCTTTACCCTAGCTAACACTTGTCTACTCTCTAGCTCAGGGTTCTCAACCTTCCTCATGCTGCCACCCTTTCAGACAGTTCCTCATGTGGTAGTGACTTAACCATAACATTATTTTTGTTGCTACTTCATCACTGTAAATTTGCCACTGTTGTGAATCAGGCGACCCCTGTGAAAGAGTTGTTCAACCCCCAAAGGGGTAGCAACCCACAGGTTGAGAACCGCTGCTTCTAGCCTGTTTCCTCTACCCTGCGTTGGTAAACATCAAAGTCTCTTTTGGTATGAAAAACCTTTATTTTTATTTTATTTTTCTTAACAATAGTCTCATACAGCTTTTGTGTGACAAACTTCACACAGCTTAATGTCCTCTAAGTTCATGTCCTGAGGTGTTTCAGTTTCATCATTCTTTAATGATGCACATTTCACTGTTCTATCTATCCATTCTTATGCATATTCAAGTTGACATGAAATTATGTAACTACCACTTTGTTTATGCTTATCCTGGTTCACATTCTTTTCCACATAAAGTTGGTAATTAGTTTCTTCATATGTTTAAAAAAACCAACAATACTGGGGTCTGGATCATAATTTTATTTATAGATTGCTTTGGGTAGTACTGACGTTTTCACAATGTTAAGTCTTCCTATGCATGAACATTGGATTATGTTAATGGAACATTCTTCCATTTAGGTAGATATCTTTTGGTTGCTTGCAATAGAATTTTGCAGTTTTGCTTGTACATATTTTTTTTGTTTTTCTGCTTACGTTTAATCCTAACTATTTTGCCTTTTGGCTCTTGTAAATGGTATTGTTT